GTAAAATGATTATGAATCAATAAAAAATGTTAAAAAAAAGAGATAATTTATGAAAAGTCCTTAGTGCATAGTATATGTTTATGTGTCTATCTTATCTTTTCTTTCTTCTTCACTCTTTAAGAAATATGAGTATCCACTTATGCCAGGCTCTGTGCTAGGCACTGCGATACAACAGAACACTGTATATTGTTCCCCTTATAGGGGAACATAGAAACAAATAGCAAAAATGAATAATTACAACATTTTATAAATACTACAAAGAGATATATGATGTTGAGAGACATTATAACAGATGAGTGTGACCTGGTCAGAGAGATTAAGAAAGGAATCCCTGGAGAAGTGACCACATTGCTAACCTCTAAATAATAAGTAGGCATTAACTAGATAAAAATAGGAATAAGCATGTACAGAATCTGGACTGAAAAAAAGCCTGTCAATAAAATAGCCAATCTCTAAGGAGAGGAAAAAGGAGTCAGAATAAGGAGGAATCTGATGTGAGCTAAAGCCTGAGGCAATTTGAGGTCAGATCAAGCAGGCCTATCTTAAGAGCAAGGGGAAGTCTTTAAAATGGTTTAAACAAGGAAGAGTAGCAAACTAATCTGTCATTTGGGGGGAAAAAACACTCCAATTACAGTACAGAGAATGTACGTAAAGGTCAGTTAGGAACTATTGCTGCAGTCCAGGCAACAATTATGGTAGCTTGGATCAGGACAGTGAAGTTAGAAATTCGTTCTATCAAAACGTCTTTACTGAGAGCCTACTAAGGGCCAAGCACTATCTCAAGTGCAGGAGAAAGAACAACAAGCAAAGACAAAAAAAAAAAAAAATCCCTGCCCTTGTGGAGTTTATATCCTAGTGAGGAGACAGATAAACAAATAAAAAAGCAAAATATCACTTATATCAGATGATTGTTAAGTGCTATGAAGAAAAATAAAGAAGGGGGAGTGGAAGGAGGTGTCTCACTACCCACAGAATCATAAAGGGATTAGATACTGGGCAAAGAAGGGATGACCCAGAAGTCCTGGACTTCTTATAGTAACTGACATAAATAGGGTTAAAAGGCATAATGACAATTGCCCTGTTGGTCTCAAGATAGATAATTATAGTAGTGATATAAATATTCAGGGAGAAGGAGACCAGGGGACGTGCTAGGAGATACAGAGTTCCAGAGCCTCTCATTTACTCTTTCCAGTGATGATGTGGAAGGCTGTGAGGGATAGCTTTAACCACAGCAATAGAGCTTATGGATCCCTTTTAACTCCAGTGGGAAGGTGGAAGCCAGAAGAGGACTAATCTAACACAGAATAGTTTGTTCCCCAATTTCTACCAGTTAAAAAACTCCATGAAGGCAGACGCTAGATCTTTACCATCATATTCCCAGAATCCAGACAAGTGCCTGGCACACAGCAGACATGGAATATATACTGCTTAAAGAATGAATGGAGTATTGATTGTATATAAAGGCAAAGTATTCCTATTATCAAGGTAAAGATTTTAAATATGTTCACATAAAAATTACCAAGTGGGGCCAGCCACAAAATTGCTTTAATCAAATCAAATTGTACTGATTTTTGACAGTTTTTAATTGACTATTATATTCTAAGAGTCTTAAAAAAATTGTTTTATAAATTAGCAGAATTTAAAAACATATACTTCGGACTTTTTAAAAATAAAAGTTATAATAATATATAATTGAACTACAAGTTCAGAAAACTTAGTCTTTTCAAATTATTTTAGTATGATTGCTTAAAAATATACTTGTTTAAAAGAAGATAATATTTTATCCTAAAAAATTCCTCAGTTTTTCTATTATATCACCTTGCTAACACATTAAAAGAAAAATATATAGATAATATGTTCAAATGTTAAATTGAAAGCCAGGAGTTTATCAAATGCCCCTGAAAGCCACTATTCAGCCCTCAGTGTGTAAATGACAGACACCACTAATTTAAAACATAACTACAGTACACTTTTTTAAAGTGTACTTGATTATTTTTATCCATATCCAACTAAAATTTTCTCAGTTATTTATATTCTGAAATGTATCTTAACAATGAATTGTTAAATGACATTAAAAAATACATACCTTTCTCTTACAAAATCTGCTAGTTCTTTTGTCGATATCTGTCCATATTTCATATTATGGTAAAGGACATCAAAGCCAGTATTTTTTTCCCCCTAAAATTTAAACAGATTCTTACTTTAACAAAAAGAGATCAAAATAATTTAGGAATAACTGACATGCAATTCTAATGTTCAAGTAAGCTGTTTTCCCTCAATTTAACCATTGTTGCTCATTGTTTAAACTGTATTAAAGGAATACTATATGCTTTAAAAAAGTTTACAATTTATTATACACATATGCACACAGCACACACATGTATACACTCTAGAATCACTCATAAGTAGATTATTAAAGAAATCATCTGAAATTTTAAGAAATAAGCAGAGCATAGTTTAGAGAAGATAAACATGGATCTTTTAAAATGCATGACCAAATTCCATGTTAATTCCTTCAACCTGCATTGAGAGATTCTTGATTATTTAACTCTGAGTCTGTACTTTAAAATAAAAGCATGTTACTAATCACATAATCACTGAATACCACAAAATACTTTATAATCAGTAATATAAGTCTTTCAGTAAACTTAACTTGAGATGTGAAAAAGGAGATAAAGTTTTAACAGAAGAACAGTAATGATCTATTGGCTAGTCCTCAACTAATGAGTAATTAACAAACCAGACTACTACACAATCCTAGAAAATCTTTCAATTTAATCCAATAAAAGCTAAGTTAGCAAGTCGTAGCAAAGAAAACATTAGAAATATCCATTTTAGTGGGTTGAGAATAGCTCAGTAGTAGAGTGCATGCTTAGGATACATAAGGTCCTGGGTTCAATTCCCAGCACCTCTGTTAAAAAAAAGAAAGAAAGAAAGAAATATCAATTTTATAGGTGAAATGAAAGACCATAAACTAAGCTCAGCAACTCTCTTTACAGTTAGCAGTTTTTCTTTCTTTTCAGTGAAAATAATGAAGAACTGAATATATTCATTGGAAATAGAAAGAAATGCCGTAAGCATTATGCAATCTGAAACTTAATTTTTCCACAGTTTGCCAAAAACAGGAAACATATTATAGGAACTTCCGGTTATGCTGAAGTGATACTTAATAAACGTGTCAGCTAATACAGAAAGTACTTAGATTGTTACACATACAACAAATTAAAACATCAGATTTGTAATGAGATAACATAAATAACATGCTTAGCATTTTCAACATCCATTTCATAAATCAAGAATATAAAACTATAGTCTCTTATAAATCCAAACACATCATTGAGCTTCTACAATTGTTCACGTTAAAGATAAAGAAAAAAATTATGATCTAACTTTAGTTCTTTACTTTCTCTGGTTTTTTCACGCACATTTATTTTAGCCAAAATAATATTCTTGAAGTAACCATTACCAATAGCCTATCATAAGCAAAATTAACATCATCATGCAGATTAGTAAATAAAATTACAGATAAAATAATCAAGGGCCTGAATCCTCCAAGGAATTCATTCAAATACTTGAATATAATACAGAAACTATGCATGATTAAACTACCCACCAACTCCCATAACATAGTCATGAACCTTGAAAAAAACAAACCTGCAATCTAGGACCATAAATTCCAAAGTATGGAGCTCTCAAGCCCCAAACTTCTCCCCTGACACCTACTAGTTCTCATTTGCACATAACTCTTAACAAGTCAGGTTATTCAGGTTTCCAGTATGTGTTATGCATATTCATTATGCATATTCAAATTAGAAATGAGCTGGTAGTAAAGGGCCATTCAAACAGGCACACAGACTATTAGAAGAAATAGTAACTACAAGCCTTACAAGAGAAAGGGAAAAAATCTTTTTTTTTCCTAAAGAAGACAAGAAAACTTAGAGATCATCTAGTAACCAGAGCAGTAAGGTCCTGAGCATTTTGATTTACTGTTATAGTACTGTAAACATTAAGCAATCAAGAAAAGGTTATATTGTATTCAGAAATCTGAGTTGTTATTAAGAAGTCCTAGAACTAAGTTCTTTATTTGGGAAATTCAAATATGCAAGCAGTACATTATGTAAAAGACCCAACAGAAGGAATAAGGTTTATTAATTTGCTTACCATTCAATATAATAATATTACTACAGTGACAGTAATATAATATTCCTTAGGAAATAGTACTAGCTACCTATCTCTCAGGCCTTCACTTGGAAAGAAAAGGAAAACTCATCCTAATAAGGATGTGATACAGAAAAAGTCTGCTTCAAGAAGCAGTAACGACTAAACATAAACACCCTGCATGATTACAAATCCATTTGTCATTTCTTCCTACTGGATATTCATTCACTGAGTTCTAAAAATGTAATGAGTCTGACTGTAGACACTATGTTCTTAAACAATTTCACAAACCTATTAACACAAATATTTATTGATCAGTAACTTTTTCTTTGGCACAAACTAAGCAAAAATTTTAATACTTCACATGGCACTCTCTCTCTTTCCACACACACACACACACAAACACATACACATACACACACAAATAAATATACATGTATCTTAAAAAAAAAACCTTCAAAGTCAAACCAAGAATCCAGGTTTTATTGTCACCTTGTCAAAAAGTTACTTTGTAGCTTTTGATAAGACAGTGTATTACATATGCATATATTTATATATATGTAAAAAATACAGTAGAAGACAATACTGGAGCTCAGTGTCTTCACCTGAACAAAACACTGGGAATTCTCAGGAAATGGAGAAAGATCACTCTTGAAACCGACGATCACAACTGATTATAATTGTCACCATATGAGATTACCCAGTTTTCTTTTTTAACTAAAAGTACCCTCATGCAGTTTCTATTAATTTTTTAGTAGCCATCAATGTTTTTAGTAGATGGTCCTAATTCGAAGAAAAGTAAAATAACAGGAAATATTTCTGAATTGCATATCCATTTTATCACCCTAGACACTGAAGTGAATATGTTCCTATCATTTTCAATACAAAAATTTTTTTCTTGACATATTCTGATAACTCAAGCAGGTAGAACTTGGTTTTTCTTGGCTAACTACAAATACACAAATGTACAAGTAACTCGACAACAGACTTTTATTATAAAATAGGATTACAACTAAAGATGTTTCCTGGTCTTCAGTATTTTACTAAAACTGTAAATATCCATGCCCTTTGATCCAGCAATTCCACTTTTAGAAATCAACACCACAAAAACACATATACCCAGATAACTGTGGAACAGTATTCACTACAGTACTGTTTATAATTGTGAAAAAGGCAGAAACAACTCAAAAACATCCATTAACACTAATGGTTAAACAAATGACAATATATCTTACAATGAAATAAATATAGTGTTTTTTAACTGCAGTAAAAAAAAACTGCAGTAGATTTTTAAGTATTAGTTTTTGTTAGTTATTAGAGTTAAAAGCTATCATGACAAGCAGCTTTAAAATGCAACTTTCTCCCAAGTATACAACCAACTGTAGATTAAAAAAAATTTTGATTATCAATGGCTAGTTTCTTTCCTTCTGCTCAAATTTTTATTCTTTTTTTTAACAATTTTATTGAGATACAATTCACACCATACAATTTGCATATTTAAAGTGTGCAATGCAAAAAAAAGTTAGGATATTTACAGAGCTGTGCCACCATCACAATTTTAGAACACAAAAAGAAACCCAAACTCAAATAGCTAGATTTTTAAGAGTAGGTATCTACTCATCTGTGATGAGCTTATTTTCTGCTGGCTTATTCATTCGTTTAATCAACACTTAAGATAATACATATGTCCATAAAAAATTTTGTACACTAATATTTATAGCAGCATTACTCATAACAAAAAGGTAGAAACAACACAAATGCCCATTAGCTAACCAACAGATAAACAATGTGATATACCCATGCACTGGAATATTATTCAGCCATAAAAGGAATGAAGTATTAATATATGCTACTATATTGATGAACCTTGAAAACATTACACTAAGAAAAAGAAGCCAGTCATGAAAGACCACATACTATATGACTCCACTCATATTTAAGTTCAGAATAGGGATATCTATAAAAACAGATAGATTATGGGTTGCTTGAGGTGGGGTGGGGATGAGACAAGGGGTGATAAAAGGTACAAGGTTTCTTTTTGAGATAATGAAAATGTTTTAAAGTTGACTAGGATGATAATCGCACATATCTGTGAACATTAGCAAAAACCACTGACCTGCAGAGTTTAAATCATGAACTATAAGGTACACAAAATATATTTCAATAAAGTTGTCAAAAAAGTTAAGTGAATAATATTTTGATCATTTTTAATAAATTCTAGCAGAGACATTTTCAGTATTAACTGACAGAAACAGGTGCTAACACCATTACTGGTCCAAAGAGGACAATTACAATGAAAGTTTACACTGAGGTTCTTTTCTCCATCCATCTCAATGCAAAGAGGTAGCATCTTCATACAAAGTCTTCTGATTGTGACCTGAGGCAAATAAAACCTTGCTGTAATCCAATATACAAAGGCATAAAAATCTGTTTATAGTAATTCCTAATATGAAGAGGGAAAAAAAGTTTTATCAACTTTTGAATATTGAAAGTCCAGAATCATACAGGTCCTTTAAGAAAAGACAAACTTCTCAGTACCTATAGTTTCCTCTAACCACTGCAATTGAAATAAGATGACTGCAGTTAACAGCTTGATGTATACATTTATCAGTTCAGATTCCTTTTTGCATACATGTTATTTTTAATATGAAAATGAGATCATGTCATGCATATTGTTTTACATCTAAATTATTAATTAAACTGAAATTTAGCTGAAAAGTAACTAAGTTGTAAGTAAGGTTACCAAGTCACTGAAAATGTTGGGTTTTTTTCTGGTGTAATACAGAGTCTACAAGTGAGATATCCTTGAAATTTCAAGTTAAAAGTTTTAAATAAGTCATCAAATCTATTTTGGCAACGCTTTTTCTGGCTGATCCTATAACTTAAGTTCATACTTAAAAAAATTTCCAATAGCTACAAAATACAATCTAGTATATTTCCACTTGAAGAAAAAAATGCACGCCTCTACTAATAATGGTATGAAATTTCAACAAAAATGGAATTGTTAATATGTCTGGGTTTTTAAGAGCCACAAAAAGGAATAGTGGAAAAGCACA